AGGGCAGACCCTACAATGAGAGGCTATGGGACCTGAACCTGTTCAGCCTTCACAAGAGAAGGCTGAGGGGGGACCTGGTGACCATCTATAAACTCACTAGGGGGGACCAGAAGGGTTTGGGGGACATCTTGTTTCCCCTAGCGCCCCCTGGGATAACAAGGAATAACGGCCACAAGTTGTTGGAGAGTAGGTTTAGATTAGACATCTGTAAGAACTACTTCACAGTTAGGGCAGCTAGGATCTGGAACCAACTTACAAGGGAAGTGGTGCTGGCTCCTACCCTGGGGGGTTTTAAGAAGCGGCTTGTTGCTAACCTGGCTGGGGTCATTTGAGCCCAGTTTTCCTCCTGCCCAGGCAGCGGTTGGACTTCAAGATCTACAAGGTCCCTTCTGACCCTACTTCTATGATTCTATGAAATCAAACTTGAAATGCTGAGGATTTAGATCAGGGGTGGGCAAAATGCGGCCCGGGGGCCAGATGCGGCCTGCCAGGCCATTGTATCCAGCCCATGGGGCCTCTAAAAATGTAGAAATTAATATTTATCTGCCCTGGGCTGCCTGTCATGCGACCCTTGATGGCTTGCCAAAACTCAGTAAGTGGCCCGCTGCCCAAAATAATTGCCTGCCCCTGATTTAGATGCTGAGGGCTTGTCTCACTCCAATTTTATGCCCAGTGCTAACAATATATATTAGCTTGTCTCCTAGTTTTTTAAAAAGGATATGAATATGATTTTTTCCTCTTAATATGCCTACCTGCCAAGACTTTAAGAATGAAAACTAAGGACACATCTGAAAGATTCTGAAAGGAAATTCAGCACTGGAGAAAGGCCATAGAGATTAGACTCATCTATGCTCCCCACACAGTGGGTTGGACACAGAAGTAGCAATAAAATCATGCTACTATAGCCCATCATTTCTTTTTTAAACTTGCTTGTATGAAAGTGTGAGGGAGTAGTTCATTCCAATACCTATGCAACCCTGCTGCTTTCACTTTGCGCCAGTTATGATTCTGGCTTCTCTGATGTCGATCTTTATTCCACTAAAAATTAGACTGAGACTCTCATTTCA